CCCCACGAGAGTCCCTTCGGACAACTGAGACCACCACTGATTCCCGAAAGACCCGGTGAGTCTATTTCCATTGACTTCATGAGCCTAACAAAGAGTCGAAATGGAAACAGTCAGGTAGTGGTGATTGTGGATTGATTCTCTAAGTACGCGATGTTTGTGCCCTTACCACCTGAAGCAAGAAATGAACTTGTTATTCAAAAATTCCAGATGCGATGGGTTTCTGAATATGGGTTTCCCACAACCATTGTATCTGACAGAGATGTGAGATTCACCGGAGAACCTTGGCAAAAAGTGATGGAAGCTTACGGCACCAGATTGACTATGTGCTGAGGATGACATCCTGAGACTAACAGCCAAACCGAACAAATGAACAAGTTGTCCCAACAGCTCCTACACATGTATGTGCAATGACTTGCTTTTCTCTGGTCGCCTGTAGCCTCTCTCTGTCGAGGCTGTACCCTAGGTAGGACAGATTCGCAATTGGCTGAGGGCTAACCAAGTGACCTGCCTGTAAGGGAAATTCGTGAGGGACATATCTGTAAATTTGGGAAAATACAGGCCCGTACTAGCTGAATTTCCTACAGCTACCCTAACTGCGAATAGCAGACCCGGGCTACCCCTAGGACAGACAGGCCCTATGGGCCTAAGCTGATAGACGGTCCTATAGCCTATAGCCGGGTTGGGAGAAGCCCTAGAGGCCGAAACAGCATCGGTACCGGTCGGTCAGTCAGTTCGGTCCAGGTGGAGTCTAGGCTAGAGTAGTCTATAGATAGGTTAGGCACATCGGTCCAAGGCTTTTGGCAGTTGGTACCGAGGACATCGCTGCTGCGCTACCCATGAACCGGAAGTGGTGACGGCGGAGACAGACATAGCCAGACCTTCGAAGTGTCGGCCATAGTTGGGACCTGCGCTGTACTCTGTCAGCACGCGCGGCCGTACAGAGGTCTGGTCTATCAGAGGTCTTCTGGAGGTGAGAGAAGTTGGTGCCCTTCTGGACCCTCCTCCGGAGTGGGGTTCCAGGGTAGTGGCGCTGCAGCCATAGCTGCAGGTTCTTCCTCAGAGGTCATCTTGTCAGGAGTGGTGGCGCTGCTGCAGACTTCCACCCGGGAAGTCTTCCGACACTTGGTCATCATCAGATATTGTGGCGCTGGTCTTCTTCTTCACCCTCTGAGTGGTGCTTGGCATCAGAGGCCTGTTTCATGGTGGCGCTTCCCTTTGGAGGGTGTAGCTGGGTGGCGCTTGATGTTTCAGGGACTCAGGGGTAGGGGTAGTGGTTCATCAGGGTTGGGGAGTGAAGCGGTGCTCATCTCTGAGCAGCGCATCATAGTTCTGAGGTTATTCTGACAATTCGGGACTCTGAGTATAATAAACAGTGTTGATACCGGGTTTGGACTATCATTGCTTCATTGTTTCTTGGATGTGACGGCTTTCCTTTATGACTGGTTGTGAGGATTGAGTGGAGTGATTTGCACTTTCAGTGTACCCTGTCATATCGCATGGTCAAGTCTTCCGCTGTGTTTCTCTCTCCCTGTGCGGTGTGATACTCCTATCCTCTCCCCTTCCTTCTGTGTATGTATGGGCATACCTGGAAGTCTATGTGAGCGAGTGTTGGTCTTCAGACAACAGACAACCAGAATCATAACATATGTACGACCTGATCAGATTGACTGGGATGAGAACCTACCCAAGATTGCAAGTGCATCTACTAATAGTGTATACAGGACGCACACCAAATGCACTGCATAAAGGTTGGCAACCTCTGAGACCGATTGACTCCCTAACAAGGGACCAAATCCAGAAGCTGCCCCCAGGAACCCGAGAGTTTGCAGTTCTCTACGAGCAAGACATTCAGAAAGCAAAAGAGAATATAAAGAAAGTCCAACGGAAAATGATTGAACAGGCAAACAAGCATAGCGTGCACAATTCAAAGAAGAAGATATGGTTTGTGGGTGAAATCTAACGATTTCTCACTTGAGGAAAATAAATCGCAGAAACTGTTACCCGTCTACTGCGGACCTTGGGAAGTTCTCAAAGTAATAGGGAACGCCGGTGGACCATCCTACCGAATTGACATTCCCCCTCATCTGAAAACCTACTCAGTCTTCCACGCATCTAAGTTGCTACCCTGTGCTGAAGAACATGTATTCCCGAATTGACCATCTTCGTTTCCTCCTTCAATGGAAGGCGGGTATCAAGTAGAAAAAATCATTGAAGACGGGATTTTCTCTAGTGGAGATAGAGGAAGACCTCAGAAGCAATACAACATAAAGTTTTCCAATCAACCACTGTCTGAAGCTCGCTGGTTTAGTAGAAGATAACTTTTACCTACTGCTACTGGTATTGTTTCCGGATATGAGAGAAGTTTAAGAATCCAAGCCTGAAATGGCCAGATGGAATGCTGTAACTTGTGCCAAATTGAGCCGATGGGCTCTCGTCGCGCCCGCGAACAAGAAGAAACAGGCAGGCCTGCAAAAGAGGTCAAAAAGGCCTTGGAAATGGCCCAGGCTGACATTTGACTGAAAAGTCAACAGTCAGCTCGTGGACCCAGGCCCAGATCCGAGAAGTAAAAGTCAACACACAAGATTTCCTAGCCGTCTATCTGGAATGATCTACCAGTGGTCTGCAGGTTCCGGAAGATTCAGGCCTCAAGGAGTCCAGACTGAAACTGGGACAAATCGGATGATCTGGTCCCTCACATGGACCGACGCTGACCCTGGACAGGCGAGTCAACGCTATATCAAGTCGACCTTGCCACTGCTTGGTCATTCAGTCTTGCGAGTTGCTTGCGGCTTCGACGCTGCACGTGAGACTTTAGGAGTGGCTGCTGGTGCCATGCTGTTACGTGCACGCCAGCCAGATACTAGAGTATAGGAGAGAGAGGCAGTTATTGCTGCAAGGATAGTCGACGGCGAGATAGTTAGGCGAGGGAGAGAGAGTGTGGATGGAGTGTGAGGTCGTGAGTGCGTACCTGGTCTTACCTGGTGGGGCGCTGCTGCTGATTCTTCTGCCTGCTTGGGGTTTGCCCATCTGCGAGGGGCTGCGTTACATCATCCACGTGGCATACAGTGTCCAGATTGCTGACATGGCAGAGGTGGGAAGACTGGAGGAGGTGGGAATTGACGCTGTGATAATCTTCTCCCTCCATCTGTTTTGTCTCTGGATATTCTTGACTTGGGTCACACATGGAACTGAGGGATCATGTACTTCGATGATGTCAATCTGATGAACTTGCTGGAATTATTATCTCACGACATTGCACGACATTGCTGTTTGACGACATGATTGTTTGACGAGACTGGGTTCATTAAACTGAACAGCTTTTGCCTCGGGGTCACATCGAAATTCTTTACCAAATTTCAATGTGACCCGGAGGCAAAACTTAATCAGTTCGAAATTTAGTGTCTTTGTTAAACGTAAAGACTGCAAGTCTGCAACTGGTTAAGTATACATTATTCCGTGAGTGATGAGTTAACCTGGCCAGCGTACCCATATGCCGGAAAAATCTGTGTGACAGTCTGCAAAAAAAATAAAAATCTTTACCTAATATATTTTTTTATTTTTTTGTGCCCAGTTGGGCAAAAGGTACCGGGCCACTCTGGTGGCCCAGAAGTTTTTATTTCGTGTTTTTACTTTGGATCACCAGTTACTTAATTGATAGATTGATTGATTATTTGATAGAAAAAAAAAGACTCCACACGTTAGTGTGTGTGAGACTCTCTCTCTCTCTCTCTCTCTCTCTCTCTCTCGCGCGCGCGCGCGTGCGCGCGCGCTTTCGTGCGCTCTCGTTCACTAGCTCTCTCTCTGTGTGTTATTCTTTCTTTCTCTCTCTTTCCTCGTCCCTCTCTTTCTCCCCCCACTCTCTTTTTCCGCCCCCCTCTTTTTGTGTCCCTCTCTCTCTCTCTCTCTCTCTATCTATCTATCTTACTTTCTCCATCCCCTTTCCCCCTTGCACACTACCCCTCTATCTCACTTGCTACCACCTCTCTCTCTCTCTCTCTATATATATATATATATATATTGTCATATATATATATATATCCTCGCACGGTTGATTTCACCACAATGTACACCAACCTTCCTCATGACCGCATTTTGAATAATGTGGCAAAGGCTGTTGATGAAGCTCATGCTTATGCTCCTCAGCATACCCGCATGCATTCGCGCTGCAGAGCCTTGAACATGTTCATTCGCGGGCCTTGCT